AGGCTGAGGCAAGAGAATTGCTTAAGCCCAAGAGTTTGAGGTTGCTGTGAACTGTGACACCACAGCACTCTACCGAGGGCAATAAAGTGAGACTCTGCCTCAAGGAAAAAAAAAATTATTCAAAAGCAATAAATCTAAAAAGCCTGGCTCAGCATTCTACTAAACTTGAACCAAGTAATATTACTGCTAAGAATTTACTCTACTATACACTTGGATAATTGTGTTTATAAAGTAAAAGCAGGAAAGAATGTTCTCTTTTACAATTATCTTTAATATCAGAGAAGAAAATTCTTAACTTCTCTCAATATATAGGTTAAAGTATGGGATGCTTATATAGAAAATCAAAACAATTTTTACAAACATTAAAAAAAGCTATCATTTCATGAATTTAAAAATGCAAGTTGCAAAGAGTATCTTATAAAAGACCTAGATTTTATAATCATGGAAACAAAATTAAAATCAGTAATAACGTTAATTCCTTTAGGAAACTGTGTAGCAGAATTTTTTTTCTACGAAGTATTTAATTTATTTATGTTATTACTATTACATTTAAACAGGAAGATAAAAACATAGTAGTTCTTTGCATAAGGAGAATTTTTTTTTGTTTTTTTTTGAGATGGGGCCTCAAGCTGTCACCCTGGGTAGAGTGCCATAGCATCACTGCTCACAACCTTCAACTCCTGGGCTCAAGCGAGTCTCCTGCCTCTGCCTCCCAAGTAGCTGGGATTACAGGTGCCCAACACAACGCCCTATTTTTTGGTTGCAGCCATCATTGTTGTTTGGTGGGTCCAGGCTGGATTTGAACCAGCCAGCTCAGGTGTATGTGGCTGGCTCCTTACCCGCTTAAGCCACAGGCCCATAAGGAGAATTTCTACAGTTGGTTTGTGTACACAGAGTATATTAGAATGGAATTCCTCCAGGCATTTCCAAGTCCGTAACGGGGATTTTTATCTTCAGAGAATGGGGACTGTGAGAAGATGCTTGTATGTTTGTGTATCCTTTGAATTTTTCTTTTTTGGTTAGACAGTTTCATCCTGTCACTGAGCTAGCAGCTAGAGTACAGTGGCATCATGATAGCTTACTGCCCTGGCCCTACTTGATTTTGAGAACATAACTAAGACTTATTAGAAAATAATTTTAACTTGAACTCTTTAACTCGTGCATGACAAGAATCACTGAGTTCCAAACTTAGATATTCTATTTAAAGAAAAAGAACCTCTAGGGGCCAGTCCTGGTGACTCACTCCTATAATCCTAGGACTCTGGGAGGCTGAGGAAAGAGGTTCCCTTGAATTCAGGAGTTTAAGGTTGCTGTGAGCTATGATGATACCATGGCACTCTACCCACAGAGACAGAGCAAAAATGTCTCAATAAAACCAAAATGAATACTTATCCTTCATAATCCTTCAACTACTCATTGACAAAAGTACTAAAGAACCACCTTCTAATAAGACTACAAATTGTGGGCTCGGCGCCTATAGCTCAACCAGCTAAGGCGCCAGCCACGTACACCTAAGGTGGTGGGTT